GACTCTTATCTTCAGAATTACTTCAAGGGGCTGGGAAGGTGGCTCAGTGGTAGAGGGCTTGCCTTGCATGCCTGAGGCCCTGGGTTTGATTCCTCAGCACCACATAAGCAAAATGAAAAAAGCCGGAAGTGGCGCTGTGGCTCAAGTGGTAGAGCTCTAGCCTTGAGCTGAAGAGCTGAGGGACAGCGCCCAGGCCCAGAGTTCAGGCCCCACAACTGGACCCCCCCCCCAAAAAAAAACAATTACTTTGAAAAAGCCAGAAGTGGTGCTGTGGCTCAATTGGTAGAATGCTAGCCTGTAACACAAATAGGCTCAAGGACAGTGCCCAGGCCCTGAATTCAAGCCCCAGGACTAACACAAAAAAATATAATATCAAAGCATTGATTTTAAACTTAGAATTCCTTTTTTTAAAAAAAAAATTTATTGTGAAAATACTGTACAGAGGGGTTACAATTACATGGGCAAGATAATGAGTACATTTCTTATCAAGCATTGTAGCCTCCTCCTTTATTTCCCCTTCCATCCCCTCCCATCCTCCCCCCCCCACCAAAGTTGTAAAGTTCATTTTTCCACATAATGACTTGTATATCTCATTGTTGCAATGGATCCACCTGTATCCCTATTTAAATGATTAGAATTTCTTATAAGAGAGAATGAGGCCCTTTCTTTTCACAAGCCAATCAGGATGTAAGGATGTATAACACTATATTTTCTCTGTTCTCAGCCTTTTTATATCACCAGTCCACAAGGAGCTCAGAATTCTAATTTAACTGTTCTAAAAGGTGATATTAGAAGGGAATGGTGGTGGTGGAGCCAGGTGCTGGTGGCTCACTCCTGTAATCCTAGCTACTCAGGAGGCTGAGATCTGAGGATCGCGGTTCAAAGCCAGCCCAGGCAGGAGAGATCGTGAGACTCCTATCTCCAATAAACCACCAGAAAACTGGAAGTGGCACTGTAGCTGAAGTGGTAGAGCGCTCGCCTTGAGCTGAAGAGCTGAGGGACAGCGCCCAGGCCCAGAGTTCAAGCCCCACGACCGACAAAAAAAAGAAGGGAACAGGTGACTTTTTTTTTTAATTTGCCAATCCTGGGACTTGAACTCAAGGCCTGGGCACTGTCCCTGAGCTTTTTGTTCAAGGCTAGCATACTACCAGGTGAGCCACAGCACCAGTTTTGGCTTTTTCTGTTTGTGTGGTACTGAGGGATTGAACCCAGGGCTGTATGCATATGAGGCAAGCACTCTACCACTAAGCCACATTCCCAGCTCCTAGAAGGCAACATCTTATAAATACAATTTGAAGACAGAATGGTATCAAAGTATTTTTTTTTCCTAGGTCATGGGGCTTGAACTCTGGGCCTGGGCGCTGTCCCTGAACTCTTCAGCTCAAGGCTAGTGCTCCACCACTTGAGCCACAATGCCACTTCTGGTTTTCTGGTGGTTAATTGGAGTCTCACGGACTTTCCTGCCCAGGCTGGCTTTGAATCATGATCCTCAGATCTCAGACTCCTGAGTAGCTAGAATTATAGGCGTGAGCCACCAGCACCTGGCTCAGAGAAGATTTTTTTCAAAAAGCAAAAACAAGTCTTGCCTTAAAAAAGAAAAATGTGCCGGGCGCTGGTGGCTCACGCCTGTAATCCTAGCTACTCAGGAGGCTGAGATCTGAGGATCACGGTTCAAAGCCAGCCTGGGCAGGAGAGACCGTGAGACTCCTATCTCCAGCCTTGAGCTGAAGAGCTGAGGGACAGCGCCTAGGCCCAGAGTTCAGGCCCTATGACTGGACCCGAAAAAAAAAAAAGAAAAATGTGCCTGTCCTTTGTTCTCTCATTTGTTTCGAGCCTATTCATTCTCTTTCTCCTAAATCTTTTGGCATACATTTGTCATCTTAGACTAAATCTTCCATCTATTGTTGGGAAAAATTGAGGCACAGAAGTTAATGTGGTCCTTAGCAAGTCAGTGCAAATACCAGACTAGAAATGGTAAATAGCCAAGCTCTGGTGGCTCAATCCTGTAATTCTACTAAGAGGAGGCTGAAATCTAAAGATTGCCGTTCAAAGCCAAGCTGGGCAGAAAAGTCAGTGAGACTCTTATTCCAGTTAACCAGACAATTGCTAGAAGAAGTGGTATGGCTCAAGTGGTAGTGTGCCAGCCTTGAGCAAAAAAAGTCAAGTGAGGGCTAGGAAGGTGGCTCAGTGGTAGAGCGCTTGCCTTGCATGCCTGAGGCCCTGGGTTCGATTCCTCAGAACCACATAAGCAAAAAGAAAAAATCCAGAAGTGGTGCTGTGGCTCAAGTGGTAGAGCGCTAGCCTTGAGCTGAAGAGCTGAGAGACAGCGCCCAGGCCCAGAGTTCAGGCCCCACGACTGGACCCAAAAAAAAAAAAAAAGTCAAGTGAAAGCACAAGGCTCTGAGTTCAAGCCCCAGTACCGGCACACACGCCCAAAAATGTGGGAGCCGGGCACTGGTGGCTCACACCTGCAATCCTAACTACTCAGGACACTAGGATCTAAGGATCCTGGTTCAAAGCTAGCCTGGTCATGAAAGTTTGTGAGACTATATTTCCGATTAACAGAAAACTGGAAGTGGAGCTCTGGCTCAAAGTAGTAGGAAAAAAAAAATCTCTGGGACAGTGCCCGGTCCTGAGTTCTAGCCCCACAACCAAAAAAAAAAGTGGGAAAGTGTATAAGACAGAAAGGAGTTTTTTTTAGTAATTATGCATATTTGCATATCATTGTCCAAAGACCTAATCATCAGGACTTATTTCACAGAAGTTATCATTTGATCTTAGTAAACAAACTGGTCTAAACTGTCACCTCATGTGGTGTGGATAATACATACAATTATTCTATGTAAATCGAATGCAATAGGAAGGAATTTATAGTCTGGATGGAAGATTAGGGTTTGGGGGTTTATTTTTTTTTAGTATATATATTTTTTTTCTTTAATTTTTTTTGGGTCCGGTCGTGGGGCCTGAACTCTGGGCCTGAGCCCTGTCCCTCAGCTCTTCAGCTCAAGGCTAGTGCTCTACCACTTGAGCCACAGCACCACTTCTGGCTTTTTTCTTTTTGCTTATGTGGTGCTGAGGAATCGAACCCAGGGCCTCAGGCATGCAAGGCAAGCGCTCTATCACTGAGCCAACTTCCCAGCCCCAGTATATATTTTTTATTGTAAAGATACTGTACAGAGGGGTTACAGTTACATAAGGTAATGAGTACATTTCCTATGGAGCATTATTATCTCCTCTTGTTTTTCCCCTACAATCCCTTCCCTCCCCACCTCCCCAACTCCTTCCTCTGCCCCCCCCCCCCCCGCCAAGATTAGGTTTTATGACCTTTAAACTCTGGGATCTCTGTTGTAACCAAGCCTCATTAGAACAAGATTGTCCGCAACAGGACAGAACAAAAAATGATCATATACAATTGTTCTATTCTTAACCAAAAAGCAACAATACTATAGGACTGGAGGTGTACTCAGTGGTAGACCATTTGCCTAGCATACAAGAGGCCCTGGGTTCAAAAGAAACAACTCTGGTTATATTTTGATCATGATGCCTTTTATAATTCCATAACTTCTCTGATATCTAAATTTTTATCTGGAAAACATATTCTATATTATACACCTATTCTTGTGAAAAATAGATGTTAATAGGGTATTTTGAGTAAAGAAAAATGAACCAAAATAAAGTCTTAAACAGAAAGCCCAGCTACCATTTTATATAGCCTTTTTTTTTGTGGGGGGGAGGTATACTACCTTAAAATTTTATAGTGACATGACTGGGTAATTTCATTTAACAACTATTATTTAGTACTTTATCTCATATTGACTTTACCTACAAGAAGCTTTACTGTGGGGGGGGGGCAGGAGGTGGGAGGGGGCGGGGGAGATGGGAAGGGATGGATGGGAAGGGGAAACAAAGGAGGAGGCAACAATGCTTGATAAAAAATGTACTCATTGCCTTGCCCGTGTAACTGTAACCCCTCTGTATGGCATTTTCACAATTAAAAAAAAAGGGCTAGGAAGATGGCTCAGTGTAGAGTGCTTGCCTTGCATGCGGCCCTGGGTTTGATTCCTCAGCACCACATAAGCAAAAATGAAAAAAACCGGAAAGTGGCGCTGTGGCTCAAGTGGTAGAGTGCTAGCCTTGAGCTGAAGAGCTGAGGGACAGTGCCCAGGCCCAGAGTTCAGGCCCACAACCGGACCCCCCCCCCCCAAAAAAAAAAGCCGGGCGCTGGTGGCTCATGCCTGTAATCCTAGCTACTCAGGAGGCTGAGATCTGAGGATCTAGCACTCTACCTCTTGAGCCACAGCGCCACTTCCGGCTTTTTTCTTTTTGGTTATGTGGTGCTGAGGAATCAAACCCAGGGCCTCAGGCATACAAGGTAAGCGCTCTACCACTGAGCCACCTTCCCAGCCCCTTTGAAGCAATTTTAATTTTACTTTAAACCTTATTTTTTCCCTAATCCTAAGTATTCCAAAAATGAATGGTAAAGGGACAGCGCCCAGGCCCAGAGTTCAGGCCTCACAACTGACCCCCCCCAAAAAAACAAAAAGGGGCTAGGGTCATGGTTCAGGGATAGAGTACTGCCTAGCAAGCACCAAGCCCTGAGTTCAAACTCTGGTACTGAAAAAACTAAAAAGCCAGTAAAGGAGAAAAATAGAAAACCAATTACCTAGTCTGATGAGTATTGAAGTCTAAGTATGTATGTAGGACATTAGGAACATAGGCAGGTAGTGGTTCACACTTCCAGAAGATTTGATGTGACTGCTAAGCTGGATTAATAGGAATAGGAATAAGTCATGCCACTTACTAAGTTGCTGCATTTACTATAGTACTTCTGCTAAAACTTGGAAGGAGGAAGCAAGTGGAACAAATGGCATTAGAGTGGGAAGTAATAACAGGCTGTCCGTGTCCAAGAACTCCTTTCAAGGAGCAGAAGTTGTCCTGATGTCCACGAATACCAAAGTCAGTGCCCCGCAAGTAATCTGTCTCCTTCATGGTTGTTCAAGGGCTTACTCTCCATTTTGCGCAAATTGAAAAGTGCACCGGACCAGGAGGTGCGAATCCTTCTCCTGGGCTTGGATAATGCAGGCAAGACTACGCTGCTGAAGCAGCTTGCATCTGAAGACATCAGCCACATCACACCTACCCAGGTGAGCACTGCCCTGGCTCCAGGTGCTGAGTCCCACAGGGTGGTTGAGAGAGAGCAGGACATGGCTTCATCCACATCCAAATTTTGTTTTTTAAACAGTCTAAAAGAAATTATATATATATATATACACACACACACACACACACACACACACATGTGAACATATATACTATATGTATATATGTATATGTATCACATATATGATTTATATAAGTACCTATATGTAGAATCTCTTGATCATGTGTAATATGTCAGATATATGATATTTGATCTATATATGATATATGTTATCATGAGATTCTATCTAGATATATAAGATATTTAGAGCATCCAAATTCCTAGAGACAGAAAGTAGAATGGTTAGTGGATCTGGAAAGGAGGAATAGGGAGGTTTGTTTAATGGATACACAGTTGGAAACAATTCTGAGGGTGATACACATAGCATGAATGTACACACTTTGAAATAGTTAAGGCAAGTAGTGGTGGTTCATGCCTATAATCCCAACTACTTAGGAGTCAGATCTGGAAGATTACAGTTCAAGGCCAGCCTGCGTAGAAAGTTAGTAAGACTCCCCCACCTCTCAGCCAGCAAGCTGGGCATAGTGTTCCATGCCTGTGGCTCCATGTAAGTGGGAGATATGAATAGGAGGATCAAGGTTCCAACTAGTCCCCTGAGTTCAAACCTCAGCATCATAATAGATCAATTGATAGATAACAGAATATTTAAAATAGTGTATTTTATGTCATAAACCATCACAATTTAATTGATGCATATTTATATATTTGTGTGTTAAAACAATTCTCTAAAATCTAAATGATTACCTATATTCCTCCTCTCCTCTCCCCTGAAGTGCTAAGCATCCAAACCAGAGTAAATGCTAAGCTAGTACTCTTCTGCTGAACTACATACAACCCCAGCCCTATATACTTTGTGTGCCTGTCAGGACCTGGTGGGCACTGTCCCTTGGCTTTTTCACTCAAGGCTAGAGCTCTACTACTTCAGCCACACCTTTACTTCTGGCTTTTTGCTGGCTGAACTGGAGATAAAAGCTTCACAGACTTTCCTGCCCAGCCTGGCTTCAAACAACAATCATTAGATCTCAGCCTCCTGAGTAACTAGGATTACAGGAGTGCGTCACTGGCACCCAGCATCCAGTGTGGCATTTTGCTGCTACTTTTTCTTTTTTCTGTTCCTGGGGCTTGAATTCAGGGCCTGGGCATTGTCCCTGAGCCTCTCTGTACCCAAGACTAGCACTCTACCACTTGAGTCATAGAGCCACTTCTGGCTTTTTCTGTTTATATGGTACTAAGGAAATGGACCCAGGGCTTCATACGTGCTAGGCAAGCACTCTATCACTAAGCCACATTCCCAGTCCCAATTTTTGCTAGCCCTTTTGGAGATGGAGTTCTCACAGAATTACTGCCCAGGCTGGCTTTGAACCACAGCCTTGTAAAGAGCTAGCAGTGGGTCTAGGAAGGTGGCTCAGTGGTAGAGTTGTTTGCCTTGCATGCATGAGGCCCTGGATTCGATTCCTCAGCACCACATAAGCAAAAACAAAAAAGCCAGAAGTGGTGCTGTGGCTCAAGTGGTAGAGCGCTAGCCTTGAGCTGAAGAGCTGAGGGACAGCGCCCAGGCCCATAGTTTAGGCCCCATGACCAGACCACCCCCCCCAAAAAAAAAAAAAAAGCTAGCAGTATAGGCATAAGCCACCATTCCCCAACTCTTAGTCCCTTTTGAGTGTTTGTTTGAGCATCAGGATTTAGCAAAACCAGAGTTATTTAGCATTTTCTGTCATTGTTCTGTGATTAGACCTTGGTGTCAGCTTTGAAAGGCTGTGCTGGTATATGTACTTCACGGCCTGTGAGTCTTAGTGATTCACAGCTCCTTGCAGAAAAGTCATTTCAACTGCTACCAAATGAGCAATTTTACAGCTTCTGAACAAATTTAATGTATAGCCTAAGGAGGAGCAAATTACAACAGTCTCGCCTAGAAGGGCTAAAAACACATATTAGTGTGTCAGGATTTCTGCCAGAAAAAGAAGGGCTAGTTTTTTTTTAGTATTAGCAGTAGACTGGATTTCTCAAGAGCACTAAAATGAGGACTTCCATACTGCAAACAGAAATTAACTCAAACTGATAAACCCAGAGTTTGAATGTTAACCTTCAGGCTTTATTGGATGTGTTATAGGTGACTTTGTTATTATACTATATCAAGCTTCACATATTCCTTACAAACTTTTATTATATTTTGGGTTAAATATTAATGTGACAACAATGGGTTCATTGTGACATTTCTATACAACTTCACCTCCACCTCCTCTCTTACTCTTTTTCCCCCTCGGAATTATTTCAACAAGCTTCCTTGGTTGTTGTTGAGTAGAAGGGTTTTTTGTTTGTTTGTTTTTGCTGTTCTCGGGGCTTGAACTCTTAGCCTAGGCACTGTCCCTGGACTCCTTTTTGTTTGTAGAACATTTTTAAATACACAAAAAGTCACTCTGGAAATGAGTCACAATGTAAAAGCTGTCTTTTACAATAAGGGTAAGCCACTTTCCTATAGAGTTCTGAAACTTCCGATTTAGTCATGGGTATTTTTTTTTTCCTGCCAGCTCTGGAGCTTGAACTCATGGCCTGAGCACTGTCCTTGAGCTTCTTTTGCTCAAGGCTAGCACTCTACCACTTGGCCACAGCATCACTTCTAGCTTTCTCTGTTTATGAGGAATCAAACCCAGGGCTTCATCCATGCTAGGCAAACACCCTATCACCGAGCCACATTCCTAGTCCCATTTTATCATTCTTACAAGGTGATTTTTTTTGTTGTTTAAGTTATTCTGCTTGCTCATGAAGTACCTTCTCTTAGAACCCCTAAGGTCTTGTTAATTTGCTTCTCTCTAGACAAACTCCCAGCTGGCCTTTCTGCTTGTTGTTGCTTTATTCACCTTCCTCAAAGTTCTACCTTGAAATCCCAGTGTTGGTAGCTCACATCTGGAATCCTAGCCACTCAGGAGGCTGAGATCTGAGAATTGTTGTTCAAAGAAAGCTAGCCTAGGGCTGGGAAGGTGGGTCAGTGGTAGAGTGTTTACCTCGAATGCATGAGGCCCTAAGTTCAATTCCTCAGCACCACCTAAACAGAAAAAGCCAGAAGTGGTGCTGTGGCTCAAGTGGTAGAGTGCTAGCCTTGAGCTTAAGAGCTGAGGGACAGCGCCCAGGCCCAGAATTCATGACCAACCAAAAAAAGAAAGAAAGAAAGGAAAAAAGGAAGGAAGGAAGCAAGCAAGCAAGCCAGCCCAGGCAGGAAAAATCAGTAAGACTCATCTTCTGTTAATCACCAAAAGCCAAAAGTTGAGCTGTGGTTCAAGTGGTTGGGCACTAGCCTTAAGCAAAAAAGTTTAGAGATAGTACCAAGGCCTTGAGTTTAAGCCCTAATACAGAAAAAAAAAAAAAAAGTTCTATCTTTAGTAACTATCTTTTTTTTTTGGGGGGGGGGTCAAGTCGTGGGGGCTGAACTCTGGGCCTGGGTGCTGTCCCTCAGCTCTTCAGCTCAAGGCTAGCACTCTACCACTTGAGCCACAGTGCCACTTCCAGCTTTTTTTTTTTGCTTATGTGGTGCTGAGGAATCGAACTCAGGGCCTCATGCATGCAAGGCAAATGCTCTACCACTGAGCCACCTTCCCAGCCCCTTTAGTAACTATCTTAAAAGTGAAGACTTCAGTGTCATCAACCATACCTATTAAAGTGAAGTTTCAAATGACTCTTGGTTTTTGCTTGTTACCATCAAACAAACCAGAGCCTGGACATGCAATTCCCTTCCCTCCTGTCCCTTTGCCTTGCCTTCCCTTCGCATCGCTCCCCATTCGATGGATGCTCCAGCTCCATCCTCAAGCCTCCCAGTGCCCTTATTCAGCTCCCTCTTTCCTGCCTAATCCATGTGAAAGAGGACGCTTATTTTGAGCCACAGTTGGGGAATCTAATCCTCCAGACTTGTAGGCCTTTTTTTAAACTTAGCCTTTGTTCTTTTTTTGTTCTCTTTAGTTTAGTTTCACCTTCTAGTTGTTTTTTTTGTTGTTAGTCATATGTAATGCCCTGTTAAATTTACCATTTTGAGCTCTCATCATGGGTATGTGGTCTGTGTTGATCATAGGGAATCTCATACCAAGTTGCCCTTAGCAATTATATATAATTTTTTTCTTGCCATGATGGATGATTGTACCCAGAGCCTTGTATATATTTAAGTAGACACATTACCACTGAGCTATTCCACCAGCCCATACGTATATGTGTGTATGTGTGTGTGTATGGAAAGCATCATGCTGGCCCTATCATTAATATTGACTATAACCTGAATGAAATAAGCATGTATAAATGTTTTTTTTCCTTACCCCATTAAACCATTTTCAGTATTAACTGTATCACGTCATCACATCTGGAAAGAGAAAAAAGTATTGCATCTAACAGAGTACTTACAACTAATTTTTAGAAAACAGCTATTAGGGTCAAGAGGTATAGCTCATTGGTCTAGTGTATACTTAACATCCTGAAGGTGGCCTGGGTTTAATCCCCAGCACACAGACAGTCTCTCTCACACACACACACACACACACATATATACTATGTGCATTAAATGTAATGTGGTCAGAATTAATTTTAAAAAAACTTGGTGTTTGCTTTTTCTTTTTTTTTCTTTGCCTGTTTCAGGGTTTCAATATCAAAAGTGTACAATCACAAGGTTTTAAACTGAACGTGTGGGACATTGGTGGACAGAGGAAAATCAGACCATACTGGAGAAACTATTTTGAAAATACCGATATTCTTGTAAGTAGTCCTTCTGCAGTGCTAGTTCCTAGTCTACATAACATCTGTTCTGGTCAGTGATGTGTTTGCTGTCACATTTGTGGCTGAGTTAGCAGGCCTAGCAGAGGGCTGCTGACTGGAGGCAGAAAGGGGAGATGCGTCTCTCTATATGATTTGCTATCTCTCAGTAACACAGCACTCACTGCCCACACCCACCTTGGCAATACAAGTGTCTATTACTTACTAGTGACTTGACTAGCAGCAGAAAAGCCACAAGATTGTATACTGACTCTGTTACCCCAAGCGAGTCCATAAATCAAGTACATCCAGAAGACAGCAACCAAGATGGTAGAAGTCCTGGCACCATGATGGCTAAGGAATGCTCAGAAGGCCTGACTGTTCTCAGTGGAAAGGAGAACAGTTGGCACTGTCCTCTTTGCTTCCAGAATGACCCTAATTCCCTCATCATGACCAGTTCTAGAGGACTGAGCTAGCCGTGGTGCAGGGAGCTTTAGAGTGGCAGAATTTGAAGTCAGAGTAGGGAAGAAGCTTCTTGACTGTGCAGAGGTTAAGGAAGCTGCCTCATGCTTGAGGATTCTCGACTCAGGTGCCCTTCATTCAGGCAGAAGCTGCAATCACAGCTATCAGTTCCCCCTCACTGTCACTAGAAGCAATGTCTCAGAATTCTTGGAGCACTCCTGTCCACATCCAAGATCTCTCCAGTATCCCAGCCTCAGTTTCTTTGCTTCCCTGCCTCTAGTGATCTTGCCATCTACTCTGTTAGCCACGCATGCTCATGATTAAACCAGGGCACTTGAGTAGTTTTTTGAAAAGGAGGGGAGTGCTGGGTGCTGGTAGCTCACCCACCTATAATCCTAGCTCCTCAGGAGGCTGAGATCTGATGAGCACAGTTCAAAACCAACCCAGTCACAAAGTCACAAAAGGTCCTTGAGATTCTTTTTTTTTTTGGGGGGGGGGGGGGAATCCGGTCATGGGCCTGAACTCTGGGCCTGGGCGCTGTCCCTCAGCTCTTCAGCTCAAGGCTGAAGCTCTACCACTTGAGCCACAATGCCACTTCCAGCTTTTTTTTCTGCTTATGTGGTGCTGAGGAATCGAACCCAGGGCCTCATGCATGCAAGGCAAGCGCTCTACCACTGAGCCACCTTCCCAGCTCCGTCCTTGAGATTCTTATCTTCCATTAACCAGTCTACCACTTGAGTATTAGAGTACCATCCTTGAATAAAAAGAGCTCAGGAACAGTACTCAGGCCCCAAGTTTAAGCCCTAGAACTTGCACAAGAAAAGAAAGAAAGAGGGCTAGGAAGGTGGCTCAGTGGTAGAGCACTTGCCTTGCATGCTCGAGGCCCTGGGTTCGATTCCTCAGCACCACATAAGCAAAAAGTAAAAAGCCGGAAGTGGTGCTGTGGCTCAAGTGGTAGAGTGCTAGCTTTGAGCTGAAGAGCTGAGGGACAGAGTTCAGGCCCCACGACCAGACCAAAAGAAAAAAAAAAAAAGAAAGAAAAAGCATATCATTTTCATTAACCTCTAAATGAAAGTTTAATTTCCTTCAATTATGGCAACAGGTAATAAATTATAGTAACATCAGCCTAGCTATGTCTTTATTGCCTGGGGAAACAATCTTTTTTTTTTTTTTTTTGTCAGTCATGGGGGCTGAACTCTGGACCTGGGTGCTGTCCTTCAGCTCTTCAGCTCAAGGTTAGCACTCTACCACTTGAGCCACAGCATCACTTCTGTTTATGGGGTGCTGAGGCATTGAACCCGGGGCCTCATGCATGCAAGGCAAGCACTCTACCACTCAGCCAACTTCCCACTCCCCATCTTGTATCTTTGCTTCCTATATGTCTCTGTCCCTTTTATGCACATGCATACATCATGAAATTTTTCTTTTTTTTTGGGGGGGGGGGGTCCAGTCGTAGGGCTTGAACTCTGGGCCTGGGCACTGTCCCTCAGCTCTTCAGCTCAAGGCTAGCACTCTACCCTTTGAGCCACAGCGCCACTTCCGGCTTTTTTCTTTTTGCTTATGTGGTGCTGAGGAATCGAACCCAGGGCCTTAGGCATGCAAGGCAAGCACTCTACCACTGAGCCATCTTCCCAGCCCATGAAATTTTTCTTAAAAAGGAAAAGCAAGCTAAGTACAGTAGCTCATGCCTACAATCCTAGCTACTCAGGAAACAGAGAACTGAGGATGAGATTCAAAGCCAGCTTGGACAGACAAATCTGAGAGACTTTTATCTCCAGTTCACCACAAAGGACAGAACTGGAGGTGGTGTGGTTCAAGTGGTAGAGCACCAGCTGTGAGCAAAAAAGCTAAAACACACAGCATCTTGTATTCAAGCCCCAATACCAGCACACACACACACACACACACATCAATCCGAGGCCAAAATGGTGGTGTATTCCTATAATCTGTTATTCCAATATTATAGAGGCTGAAACAGGAGTTGAGAGTTCAAGGCCAGGCTAGGCTATGAAGAAAGTGCTACAGAAATAGTTTGGGCTGCCGGGCACCGGTGGCTCATGCCTGTAGTCCTAGCTACTCAGGAGGCTGAGATCTGAGGATCACGCCTCAAAGCCAGCACAGGCAGGAAAGTCTGTGAAACTCTTATCTCCAATAAACCACCAGAAAACCAGAAGTGGCACTGTAGAGTGGTAGAGTGGTAGAGTGCTCACCTTGAGCTGAAGAGCTGAGGGACAGCACCCAAGCCCAGAGTTCAGGCCCCATGGACAAAAAAAAAGAAAGAAAGAAAGAAAAGAAATAGTTTGGGCTGGGCGCCAGTGGCTCAAGCCTGTAATCCTAGCTACTCAGGAGGCTGAGATTGGAGGATCACGGTTCAAAGCCAGTCCAGGCAGGAAAGTCTGTGAGACTCTTATCTCCAATAAACCACTTGAAAACCAGACAAAAAAAGAAGAAGAAGAAGAAGAAAAAGAAATAGTTTGAACCCAGAGCCTCAAGTTTGCTAGGCAAATGATTTATCACTTGAATCATACCTCCAGCCCTTAATTTTTTTTTTTTTTTTTTTTATTTTTTGGGTCTGGTCATGGGGCCTGAACTCTGGGCCTGGGCACTGTCCCTCAGCTATTCAGCTCAAGGCTAGCACTCTACCACTTGAGCCACAGTGCCACTTCCGGGGTTTTTCTTTTTGCTTTATGTGGTGCTGAGGAATCGAACCCAGGGCCTCAGGCATGCAAGGCAAGTGCTCTACCACTGAGCCAACTTCCCAGCCCCCTTAATTTTTTTTTAAGGTACAGATAGATTTTTGTTTTTCCTTTTTTGAATCAAGAGTTGGGAAAAAAGCAGAAAGGAAGAAATTTCTTACCTGTTCATCTGCTGAATTAAAATACCAATACCAAAAAAAATATAAAACATGGACATTAATAATGTCCATGAGGTCTCAGAAACTTTCTGGTCTACATACAAGGGTAATTTTAAATTATGAGCTACTACCCTGATGGTACCCTGCAGAATCAGTGTAACAGGACCCTGGTTCCCACATTTTCATTAGCTAAGCATACCCAGGAGTTAATGTGCCAGTCTACAAAAGTCAGTTTCCAGCAACACTAGAGAAGGTTTCAGCTATGTTCCACCTGAGTAAGAGATAATATATTGGGTTGAGAGTCAGCCTCTCATTATTTTCCAGTGCCATTTGAGGTTAAACAAGTTTGGGGAAGCAGCTGAGTCCCCAGGTTTAGAGTCTCAGCCTTGAAGCTCTGGGCCCTGTCTGCCGGTTTGCAGCAGCCTGGAGCAGCAGGTTAATGGGTTCTGTTTGTTTGTCTGTGTTTAATGGTCTTCCATTGTTGGTTGAAAAAGACCTATTGCACTGGGCTCCATGCTGCTAGAGGAGCCAGATTGAGGCTTGACACATTTCATTGGCTAGTTAAGTCTTTTCAATTCTCTCTAGAGTGCTACGGTACAATCTTGCTTTAGAGCAGAGGTAGACAAATTGATCCACCCTGCTTCCTGTTTTTATATAGCCTGCAAGTCACTGTGGTGGTTTTTGTGTTGTTTTTTTTTTTAATATTCTCAAGTGGTTGAAAAGAATCAAAAGATAAGAATTATATGAAATTTAAGTCTCAGTGTCCATAAAGGTCTGTTGGAACACGGCCACACGCATCACATCTGTTCACAGGTTTCCTGAGGTTGCTTTCTCACTGCAGCAGTGTTCAGGAGCCGCAAATGAGATTGTATGGGCCACAAAGCAGAAAATATTTACTACTGACTCCTTGCAGAAGTTTGCCTCGCCTTGCTTTACAGCGTCAAATGGCTCTCTGGAGGCTTGAAAGAGTCAGGGCAACTCCTGAAAGTGCCAGAGTTGTTTTCTGGGATGTGATTCTGAAAACATCTGACTTCAGCTTTATTAACTTGTAGGAAATTGACCAAGAAAGCAAAGTTGCAGTATGGCAGAAGGAAGGGGACTGTGGATATGCCTTCGAGATCTCTTTAGGTTAGGAAGTTATAACAAGATAGCTGAAACACCTAGGATATGGCTCAAGTGGTACAGAGCTTGCCTAGCATGCGCAAGGCTCTGGGTTCCATCTCCGGCACTATCAAAAATTAAATGCAAAAAATATGATTGTTTTTCAAAATATATTCATGTTACAAAATTCTATTTACATGATCATTTTTCTATTTAAGCAAGATAGTTTAAGCACAATAACTTTGTTATCATTTCCATATTTAAAGCAGAAGATGTGAGATAGATCTCAAACCCTCTGCGCTAACATAACTAGTCTTATTTCCATCATAATACTCACAGTGTTTGGGGCTGCTAGGGAGTAGAAAGAGTACCAGTGATTATCTCTACCTGTCACTTATACAGTGTCTGCTATTCCCTAGGGCTCTCCCTCAAGCCATCAGAGGAAAGCCAGGCACTGCTGCTTACCCTCTGCTGGACAGATTGAGGAGCAATAAAGTGGCCAAAAGGTGGCAGCAGGGGGGAGGAGCAGGAGCAGAAGAAACAAAGGGCCCCGATTTGGTCTCTGCTTGAGCCACAGTGGTCTAAACTTCGATCAAGAAAAACCTTTTTCTAGGCCTTCCTTCCACAGCCAAATGAGAATTTCAAAGCAACTGCCAAAAAGGGACATGAATTAGCATTCCCTGAAACATCATTTTAAATGTCTTGGATTATAACTTCCCCATAGAATGGGTTTTAGGACTTGATGTTTAGAGGTCTATATTATTTTTAAACCAATCCAAAACAAAAGCACAATGTATATTTAACTTTCTGTGATGCTTTTTAAGTAAAGACCAGAAAAGTTTTGAATATTTGTTCGTGAAGTTTAAAAATAAACTTAAAATTTTTTTCATGACTAGATTAACCAATAGCTCTGGCATTGTTTTAAAAGAACATACACACACACACTTTTAAGTTTAGGCCCTATGTGGCTGGAGGAGCCACTCCTGTGCAGAGCACATTTGTGGATTCACCAGAGGCGGTTTTGCTTGTGAATTATATAGTTGGCCCTTAAGAAATAGCTAGAAATAGATAGATAGAGGGGCTGGGAAGGTGGCTCAGTGGTAGAGCGCTTGCCTTGCATGCATGAGGCCCTGGGTTCGATTCCTCAGCACCACATAAGCAGAAAAAGCTGGAAATGGTGCTGTGGCTCAAGTGGTAGAGTGCTAGCCTTGAGCTGAAGAGTTGAGGGACAGCGCCCAGGCCCAGAGTTCAGCCCCCACAACTGACAAAAAAAAAGAAAGAAATAGAGCATTTGTTTTATAGACTTAATCCTGGCATTATTGCCCAGTGATTTTCTTCTCTTTCAAATATGAAGAACTTCATGAACTTGCATGGCATCCTTGAGCTGGGCCGTGCTAACCCCCATACTGCTCTAATTTTAGCATATGTGCTGCCAAAGCAGTGCTCTGCAGTGATTTTCAAATTTTATGAAAGTTACGTGAGAAAAATGCTAAGTAAGAGGAAGAACTTGCATGTAGCTTGGGAAAATCCTTTTGAATCTGGTAGCGGAAACATTTTCTGTGAAATTGCATGTCAGTGGATAAATAGCAAAATCTTCAGAGTAAAAATTGAGAGCTTTCTTCCTATTGCCCTCAGCTTCTAAATTTGCTAGTGTTTAACTGGTTTACTGTTCTTCTCTGCTATTAAAATGCTTTACATTCCTTGTTTTGTTTTCCCAGCCAGTTTCTCTCCATCATACCAAATGGCCTTCACTTTTCTCTCCTCATCTAGGTTCAGTTCCTTTGCTCCCAACATAACTTTCTCCTGCATTTTGCTGGTTAGGGTCTCATGGATTTTCCTGCCCAGGCTGGCTTCAAACAGTGATCCTCAGATCTCAGCCTCCTAAGGAGCTAAGATTACCAGTGTGAGACACTGTGCCTGGCTTCCTCTCTGACATCTTGGGCTGTGACAATTATTCTGACCCACTGTAGATTCCCAAATAATTTTTTTTTGGGGGGGAGGGTCCGGTCATGGGCCTGAACTCTGGGCCTGGGCGCTGTCCCTTAGCTCTTCAGCTCAAGGCCAGCACTCTACCACCCAAGCCACAGAGCCACTTCCGGCTTTTTTTTTTCTGCCTATGTAGTGCTGAACCCAGGGCTTCAAGCATGCAAGGCAAGCGCTGTACCACTGAGCCACCTTCCCAGCCCTCCCAAATAATTCTAATTAGATCTTCTCTCTTGAGGTCCATTCTACCATTGCATTTCTCCCTACCCTGTGTTTATACTATGACTGCTGCTTTTAACATGTGGATGCCCAACATGCACCAGACCTTGGCTTCCATCCCCAGCACCACAAAATAGCAAACAAGTAAAAGAAAAAAAGCTATCCCTGTGTTCTGCATAGGGACTTACCAGACATCAAATTATATCAGTAGTGCCTACAGCCCATGATGCATTTGTTGACACTAAGAGTAATAGTAACAACAATATAATATGGGCCACTAAAATAAGCCTGAAATCAAATGTATTAATTCTTCCTCTTCTTTTTTTTTGTCAGTCGTGGGGCTTGAACTCTTGGCCTGGGCACTGTCCCTCAGCTCTTCAGCTCAAGGCGAGCGCTCTACCACTTGAGCTACAGCGCCACTTCCGGTTTTCTGGTGGTTTATTGGAGATAGGAGTCTCACAGTCTCTCCTGCCCAGGCTGGCTTTGAACCGAGATCCTCAGATCTCAGCCTCCTGAGTAGCTAGGATGACAGGCGTGAGCCACCAACGCCCGGCTTAATTCTTCTTCATGTGATTCTCCAAGTAGAAATTCAGGGTATTCCTGAGAGAAAAGGATAATAGCACTGGGACTAAATGACAACATTAAGAAAAATTTTAATTTTTCTTTTTCAAAAGTAAGTATGTTTTCAGGGTACTACAGATTTGTCTTGTACACAGAAGTGTCTATGTGCCTTGAAATTGATCCGTTTGAGGGGCTTAAGGCATATAATGATAAGAGTTGAAAATTATTTTTCAGTTTGGGTTTTAATTGAACATGCTCTTCTGAAAGAGAAAGTTAGAGCTGGGCACCAGTGGCTCCTGCCTGTAATTCTAGCTGCTCAGGAGGCTGAGATCTGCTGTTTGAAGCCAGCCTAGGCAGACAAGTCCATGAGACTTTTTTATCTTTAAGAACCAAAAAGCCAAAAGTGGGGTTCAAGTAGTAGAATACTAGCCTTAAGCAAAAAATCTGAGACAGCTCCCAGACAGAGTTCAAACCCCAGGAACAACACACGAGAGAGAGAGAGAGAGAGAGAGAGAGAATGTTAGGGCTGTGGACATGGCTCAAGTAGTAGCATGCCTGTCTAGCAGGCACCCCACCCTGACTTGAAATCCTTGCACCACAAAACAGAGCATTTCCATTACACCATTGGTTTAATAACAATGCTAAGTCAGGAGGTGCATGCCTCAAATCCTAGCACTTGGGAGACTAAAACAGGACAGAGTTCAAGGGCAGCCTGAACTACATAGCAAGACCTTGCCTCAAAAAAAACTATAAAACAATATCTCATTTTCTTTTAAATTTTCATATGAAGGAGGATTAACAAGAACTTTTTTTTTTATTGTGAACATACTGTACAGAGGGGTTACAATTACATGGGCAAGATAATGAGTACATTTCCTATCAAGCATTGTAGCCTCCTCCTTTGTTTACCCTTACAAGAACTTTTCTTTTGGAAACTAGTTAATGTATTTGAAGTACAACTATAGGCGGTTTTTCTTTTTTTTGTCTTACCTTATTTTCCTTGTCATAGGATGTTATTTATGAAATAACAAAACTCAAACATGGAGAAGAACGCTGGAATTGTTTTTCAGTGTCTGGGTGCTGTCCCTGAGCTCTTTCTGCTCAAGGCTAGCGCTCTAGCACTTGAACCACTGCTCCACTTCCAGCTATTTTGGTAGTTAATTAGAGATAAAGAGTCTTACAGAATTCCTTGCCCAGGCTGACTTTGAACTGTGATCCTCAGGTCCTCAGTCTCCTGAGTAGCTAGGAATATAGGAATGAGCCACTGGCACCTGACTCAAAAATTTTTAATGTACAATAAATCTCAAGATTTTTCTTGGGGGGCTGGGAAGGTGGCTCAGTGGTAGAGTGCTTGCCTTGCATGCCTGAGGCCCTGGGTTCCATTCCTCAGCACCACATAAGCAAAAAGAAAAAAGCCGGAAGTGGCGCTGTGGCTCAAGTGGTAGAGCGCTAGCCTTGAGCTGAAGAGCTGAGGGACAGTGCCCAGGCCCAGAATTCAGGCCCCACGACCAGACTCAAAAAAAAAAAAAAAAAAAAAAGATTTTTCTTGGTTCTGGAAAAACCTGTACCCTTCCTATTTCCAGTACTTGATCTTCCAGGCCTACTGGGAAGGGAGGGATGAGAAAGACCATGTCTTTGCTCCTGACACCCGCTTATAATTAATGCTACAAATGGTCCTTCCAAAGGCATGAAATTTAAGGACTATAGGATTTCAAATGTGTCAGTAAGCCATCCCATCATGCTGACTTGGTATCCAGGGTAGCCACATCAAGAAAAGCATGTGTGAACATGTGTACTTCACCATGTACATAAGTTCTAATCTCACTTTGGGGCAATTTGCTTAACTCCTTTGGACTTAATGTTTCTTTATATATCAAATGGAAAATAATTAAATCTGTCTCAAAGTGCTTAAGAAAGGCTAATAGATCCAGATGGTGGTTCACACCTGTAATCCTAGCTACTCAGGAAGCCAAGACTTGGAGGATTTCAGCCTGAAGTCAGCTCTGGCAGAAAAGTCTGCAAAATGCTAGACTAGAGGTATAGTCCAAGTGGTAAAGCTCAAGCCATGGGAAAAATAATAGGACTTGGAGTTCGGGCTGGGAAGGTGGCTCAGTAGTAGAGCGCTTGCCTTGCATGCATGAGGCCCTGGGTTCGATTCCTCAGCACCACATAAACAGAAAAAGCCTGAAGTGGCGCTGTGGCTCCAGTGGTAGAGCGCTAGCCTTGAGCTGAAGAGCTGAGGGACAGCGCCCAGGCCCCACAACCGGACCCAAAAAAAAAAATATATCTATATATATTTATATAGGACTTGGAGTTCAAGCCCTGGTACACATACACACAAACATATACACAGTCTCTCTCTCTCTCTCTCCTTTCTGTTTTCTCTCTTTCTCTGACTACATCTAGGAAGAATCACTAGTGAAATACCAAGAACCCAGGAAATGTTGTTATTTTTACCCACTTAGCTTTCCTGTCTTCCTAGACTTTGGAGCTTTGCTGAGGGTATTTTCTGGGCAGATAGCCTCAATAATTTAATTGATTTTTTTTTTTGGCTTCCATAGATGAGGTGAGAATTGCCAGTCAATTTCTACACACTTGCTGACCTGGAATCTGCCCAGCAGAGCCCACTTGCTCCTTTTGTTGAAGTTGCCCATCTCTTCCTTTCCCTGCTTATTGAAGTAACCTTCTTTTTCTTTACAGATATATGTAATTGACAGTGCAGACAGAAAAAGATTTGAAGAGACAGGTCAGGTAAATAATTCTTTTGTTGAGATATTTCCCACATAACTTGGTACTCATTAATCCGTCTTGTAAATGTGTAAGAGGGAAGGAGGGTTGTTTGTTGTTGTTGCTGTTGTTGTTGTTTAACCTTGACAATTCAAACAGGCAGAAATTCCAGCTGTTTGAAAGGAAATTAGTTAAGAGTCTTTTAAACAATTTTTTTTCTTTTGGGGGAGGAGGTGGTTGTACTGTTGAACTCACGGAGGGCCTAAGCACTTCCCTGAGCTATTTTTTCACTCAAGACTATCACTATACCACTTGAGCCACAACTCCACTTTCTACCCTGAACTACCCCAGGTGGACTTCCAAAGACAACAGTCTTCATGTTTAGGTTCCTTTTTGTTGGTTAGTAGGTTGAGAACCTTCCAGATTCCTGGAGATAGCCCATCTCCCTTTCTGGGTCATCATTCAGATGAACCAGTGTTACTAGTGGAGGCGGAGTGGGCTTAGGTAGTCATCTGCCACCAATTCTCTCTGAGAGCCCTAATGTTTAAAAAAGGTAAAATGGAGGCTTAATGTGAAAGAGGTAGGGTCTGTCATTTAGGTAAGTAGACACTCTCTTTTATATTTACTGCATACAGAACCAACACAGTTTAGAGTTCTGTCTATAACTGCAAAATCAGGGACTCTGCTAGATGGACCAATACAATAAGAATTTGATGAAAATTAATACATGGCATGAATGTCTTAGAGACAGAGATTGATAAAAAAAAATTAATAATCTGTTTTGCCAGGCACCAGTGGCTCACACCTGTAATCCTAGCTACTCAGGAGGCTGAGATCTAAGGATCACGGTTCAAAGCCAGCCCAGGCAGGAAAGTCTCTGAGACTCTTTTGTTTTTTTGGGTCCGGTCGTGGGGCCCGAACTCTTGGCCTGGGCGCTGTCTCTCAGCTCTTCACCTCAAGGCTAGTGCTCTACCATTTGAGCCACAGTGCCACTTCCTGCTTTTTTCTTTTTTGCTTACATGGTACTGAGGAATCGAATCCAGGGCCTCATGCATGCAAGGCAAGCGCTTACCACTGAGCCACTTTTCCAGCCCTCTGATACTCTTATCTCCAATTAACCACAAGAAAATTGGAAGTGGTGCTGTGGCTCAAGTGGTAGAGCACTAGCCTTGAGCTGAAGAGCTCAGGGACAACATGCAGGCCCAGAGTTCAATACCCACAACTGACAAAAAAAATCAGTTTTATGCATACGCACGTGCATGTGCGCGCACTCACCCACACGCATACACACACACACACATGCAATAAAAGTTCAGCATGTGCAAAGCCCTAGGTTCAATCTCTATCACCGAAAGAAAGAAGGGCTGGTGCCCATGGCTCATGCCTGTAACCCTAGCTTCTCAAGAGACTGAGATCATGGTTCAAAGCCAACCCAGGCAGGAAAGTCTATGAGACTCTTATTGTCAGTTAATCACCAAAAAAAGTGGTAGAACACTAGCCTTGAACAAAGCTCAGGAACCATGCTCAGGCCCCTGGTTCAAGCATCGGGAAAGAAGGAGGAAGGGAGAGAGGGAAGATGTCAATAGTTCACACTTGTAATCTAGCTATTAAGGAGATCTGAGGATCCAGGGTCAAAGCCAACTGAAGCAGACAGATTTAGAGGTTCTTATCTTCAGTTGACCAGCAAAATGCTGGAAGTGGAAGTGTGGCTCAAGTGATAGAGTGCCGGTCTTGAGCAAGGCCCTGAGTTTAAGCTTCAGTACATGCATGCGCACACACACACACACACACACAAAAGAAAAAAAGAAAAGAGAAATGTTATTTGTAGATAGTAGTAGCCTTCTCTAACCACTACTTACATTCTCCCTTGAACAGTGTTTCTCAAGGTGTGGTCTGTGTATTACCCATAGTAAAACCAATCACCTGAAGAGTTTGTTGAATGTGCAGATTCCTGAGCACTAGCTCAGACTTTCCAAAGTCAGCGTCCTTGGCTAGGCCCAGGGATCTGCTAGGAAATCTTCCACAGACACAACCCCAAGGATCACTGCCCTTGAAAGTTGCTGGTTAATTAGCTTAACTGTTTGGGGTTTCTGAAATTAGAAGTGTATGCTTAAGTATTGATTTCTTTCCTTCCTCCCTCCTTCTGTCCTTTTCCTTCCTTCCTTCTTCCCTCTCTCCCCCCTCCCTCCTTCCCTCTTTCCTGCCCTCCTTCCCTCTCTCCTTCCCCCTTCTTTCCTTCCTTCCTTCCTTCCCCAAATGCTGTAGGAACTAGCTGAATTACTGGAGGAAGAAAAGCTGAGTTGTGTGCCAGTGCTCATCTTTGCTAACAAGCAGGATCTGCTCACAGCCGCCCCTGCCTCTGAAATTGCAGAAGGCCTGAATCTGCACACCATCCGAGACCGAGTCTGGCAGATCCAGTCCTGCTCTGCGCTCACTGGAGAAGGTGTTCAGGTGAGACTCCAGCAAGGCTTGGTCCCCTGCAACATGGAAGCCCACCAAGGTGGTCTGTCTCGTTGGTGCAATTGGCTTAGTTAGAAAAAGATGTGAAGCCGGGTGCCAGTGGCTCACACCGGTAATCCTAGCTACTCAGGAGGCTGAGATCTGAGGATTTCGGTTCAAAGCCAGCCCGGGCAGGAAAGTCCGTGAGACTTATCTCCAATAAGCCACTAGAAAACTGGAAGTGGCGCTGTGGCTCAAGTGGTAGAGAGCTCGCCTTGAGCTGAAGAGCACAAGGACAGCACCCAAGCCCAGAGTTCAAGCCCCACGACCGACAAAAAAAAAAAAAAAGATGTGAAACTAATAAGCTTTATTGGTTGGCATGGCTGAGATTGGTTTTGTTTTGTTTTGTTTTGTTTTTGTTTTTGTTTTTTACTTAACAACCCTCAGATATCAGGAAATATTCTGAGAGAACCATTTAGATAAACCACCCCAGGGCTGGGAAGGTGGCTCAGTGGTAGAGTGCTTGCCTTGCATGCCTGAGGCCCTGAGTTCGATTCCTCAGCACCACATAAGCAAAAAGAAAAAAGCCAGAAGTGGCTCTGTGGCTCAAATGGTAGAGCACTAGCCTTGAGCTGAAGAGCTGAGGGACAGCGCCCAGGCCCAGAGTTCAGGCCCCACAACTGCGCCCCCCCCCCCAAAAAAAACACCCCAAATTAGCTTTCTCAATTGAGAAAGAAGACTCTAAAGATTGTATCTCTAGAAACATTGCTAATTGGGTTGAGGTTCCATAGTGTGTCATATTGATTCCTCCCAAGGTGTGGCTGGCCATCAGAAACGATACACTAACCTAGGAGTGGTTTCCCTGTCCTCAGGATTGCTGTGTGTTTCCTGTTGCTGCAGGTTCAGTTCCCAGCGGGAGGCTTTGCACTAAGGAACTGTATACCAGGAGCTCAGGCTCCCCCTCATTTAGTATTAATTTAGGTTAGAACATAGCTGTATCACAAGCACCCAAGCTATTTCCTCCAAGAATGAGAAGCACTTTCAGCTCAGTTGGCACTGTAGTCAGTCCTGCAGGACAACTCCACCCACTCTGCCCCTCATGCATACCAGGGATTGAACTCAGGGCCTTAAACTCATGCTCAATTTCCTTGCTCATAGCTGATGCTCTACCACTTCAGCCATGCCTCAAGCCTGGCTTTTTCCTGGTTATTTTGGAGATGGAATCTCATAGACTTTTCTGCCAGGCTGGCTTTGAACACTAGTCCTCCAGCTCTCAGCCTCCTGAATAGCTAGAATTGAAAACATGAACCACTGGAGCTCTCTCAGGCCAGCTTCTTGTTCCAGAGACCTAGTATCTGCCATATTTTCAACATCCAGTATACCAGCCAGGATGTGACCAAGCGCCGTGAAGACTGACTATACTATAGTACTGTGTGATGCTAGGAATTTACTACATCTAAAGACAATCCCCTCCCCATAGCCACAAGCCATGTCTAGAATGGCAGGGCCATTCGCCTGTCTCCATTGGCATGTTGGGCGCATGCCTAGATTTGATTGTTGGTCATTGTGCTGCAGCCTTTTCCATTTCCCTCCTAATATTCTTCTCATTCCTAAGACACTGATAGTAATTTACCTTTAAAATGACTTTACCACTTTTATTACAAGCAAATAATGACTATCTAGTATTTTCTCAGCCCAGTCATGCTGCCTTTTTGTTTTTGTTTTTCCTCTTTTTGTAACAAAATTAGATTGTGTGTAGGTCCTAGGTCTGAGGGCAGCCTGATCAGCATAAGAAAACTGCTGATACCTGCACCCCTAGAAGCTCATGTACTTGTGTGTGTGTGTGTGTGTGTGTATATATATATATACACCTTTGCACATGTGTATGTGTGTGTTAGGGACTCCTTAGTACCCAGAGATTACCATGGCTACATCCCCAAAATGGACTGTGGAGCTCTGTGGGTCTGAGATTTAAAGGAGATGGTCTTTGGAGAATTTTTAAGTATGTATACTGCCAAAGAGAGCATCTGGATTTTTTTTCCCCAAGTTCTGGGGCTTGAACTCAGGGCCTGGGCTTTGTCCCTGAGCCTCTCTATGCTCAAGGCTAGCACTCTACCACTTGAGCCACAGTGCCACTTCTGGCTTTTTCTGTTTATGTGGTACTAAGAATCAAACCCAGGGCTTCATGCATGCTAGGCAAGCAACTCTATTACTAAGCCACATTCCCAGCCCTGTTTTATCTCTATTTTTGTCAGTCGTAGGGCTTGAACTCTGGGCCTGGGCACTGTCCCTCAGCTATTCAGCTCAAGGCTACCGCTCTACCACTTGAGCCACAGCACCACTTCCAGTTTTCTGGTAGTGAATTGGAGATAAGATTCTCATGAAAGCCGGGCACTGGTGGCTCACACCTGTAATCCTAGCTACTCAGGAGGCTGAGATCTGAGGATCGCGGTTCAAAGCCAGCCCGGGCAGGAGAGACCGTGAGACTCTATCTCCAATAAACCACCAGAAAACCAGAAGTGGCTCTGTAGCTGAAGTGGTAGAGTGCTCGCGTTGAGCTGAGGGACAGCGCCCAGGCTCAGAGTTCAAGCCCCATGACCGACAAAAAAAAAAAAAAAAGATTCTCATGAAGCCAGGCACCAGCGGCTCACCCTATAATCCTAGCTACATAGGAGGCTGAGATATGAGGATCATGGTTCAAAGCCAGCCTGGGCAGGACAGTCTATGAGACTCTTATCTCCAATAAACCACCAGAAAACCGGAAGTGGCACTCTGGCTTAAGCGGTAGAGCGCTCGCCTTGAGCTGAAGAGCTGAGAGACAGCACCCAGGTCCAGAGTTCAAGCCTCACAACCGACCAAAAAAAAAAAAAAGTCTCACGAACTTTCCTGCCTGAGCTGGCTTTGAACTGCAATCCTCAGATCTCAGCTCCTGAGTAGCTAGGATTACAAGCACGAGCCACTAGCATCCGGCAGCCCTGTTTTCTTTAAGTCTTACTTCTACCTAAATTCTTATTATTAAACTAGTATGTTCTAGTCAGGCACTGTACCACTTGAGCCACATCCCAGCCTAAACCAAATGCTGTGGCACATAGACCTGTAGCCCCAGCTGTGTGGGACTTGAGCCTAAAACTTACAGTGTGTGTGTTTCTCACCATTGATTATATAAAAGTCTGTAAAGCTAGAAAATGAGGCTTAAGGTATGTCAGGGTATGGCTCAGTGGGAGAGTACTGGCCTAACATATTCAAGGACCTGGGTTCATCCCTAGCACCACCACATACAAAAAAATGCAAGAAGTTCTTTTTGCTCTCCCAGTGCAACTCCGACAAAGGGCTAACTGCCATTGTATTGTTATTCTAGATTCTCCCTTGTAAAATTGTTACCACGTAGGTAATGCTCTTGCTCTCCTGCCCCCCCCCTCTATATATATGTATGTATATGTTGATATGGACCCACACATCTAGGTATACATTATACACTAATAGAAATAATCAGGTTTTGAATCAACTATACCTTAAAGTTAGTTTAATAAGTATAGTATAACCCAGATGTTTTCGAACATCTTTAATTTTCTTCAGTTACACTTTTTTTTTTTGGTAGTGGGGCTTGAACTCTGGGCTTGGGCGCTGTCCCTGCACTCTTTAGCTCAAAGCAAGCGCTCTACCACTTGAGCCACAGCGCCACTTCCAGTTTTCTAGTGGTTTATTGGAGAGAACTTTCCTGCCCGGGCTGGCTTTGAACCATGATCCTCAGATCTCAGCCTCCTGAGTAGCTAGGATTACAGGCATGAGCCACCAGTGCCCAGCTTCAGTTATACTTTTTTTAAAATCAAAACTTGCTTGGACATGGAGGCCCTCACATACAATTCCCACTATTCTCCCATATACCAAGAAGGTCATGGCTCATGGCCAGACCTGGCTAGAAAATAAAAAAAGTAGAAAGACCTCATCCAAGCAAACCAGCTGAGTATCGTAGGCCTTACTGTAAGGGAGGGATATGTAAGAGTATTAGGGCAGGAAGCCAGACCCAGGCAAAAAGAAAAAAAAAAAAAAAAGCATGAAAATAACTAAAGCAAAGCCAGATACCAGCTGCTCATACCTGTAATCCTAATTACTTATTAAGCTGAGATCTAAGAATCATGGTTCAGAGCCAAGAAGTCCGTGAGATTTTTATCTCCAGTTAACCATCAAAAAGCTAGAAGTAGGGGCTTAGTGGTAGAGTGCCTGCCTTGCATGCATGAGGCCCTGAGTTCGATTCCTCAGCATCACATACGTAGAAAAAGTGGTGCTGTGGCTCAAGTGATAGAGCACTAGCCTTGAGTTGAAGAGCTGAGGGGAAGCACCCAGGCCCAGAGTTCAGGCCCCACGACTGACAAAAAAAAAAAAAAGCTAGAAGTAGCCAGATACCAGTGGCTCACGCCTATAATCCTAGCTACTCACAAGGCTGAGATCTGAGGATCACAGTTCAAAGCCAGCACTGGCAAGAAAGTCCATGAGACTCTTCTCTCCAATAAACCAGTCAGAAAACTGGAAGTAGTGCTGTGGCTCAAGTGGTAGAGTACTAGTCTTGAGCTGAAGAGCTGAGAGACCTCACCCAGACCCAGAGTTTAAGCCCCATGACTGACCAAAAAAAAAGAAAAAAAAGCTAGAAATGAAGGTCTGGCTAAAGTGGTAGAGCACCAGCCTTGAGTGAAAAGCTAGAGGACAGTGCGCTGATAGTGAGGCTTGAACAAAGGGGTTTGGTCACGTGCTTAAGTGGTATAAGTATAAGGCCCTAAATACTGCCAAAAGTAAAAAATGAAAAAAGAACCAGAGAGCGGGCTGGGAAGGTGGCTTAGTGGTAGAGCGCTTGCCTTGCATGCTTGAGGCCCTGGGTTCGATTCCTCAGCACCACATAAGCGAAAAGAAAAAAAGCCAGGAGTGGTACTATGGCTCAAGTGGTAGAGTGCTAGCCTTGAGCTGAAGAGCTGAGGGGCAGCGCCCAGGCCCAGAGTTCAGGCCCACGACCGGACCCA